TATGATTTAAGTCGGCTGACCTGCATGTAACTATATATATGCAAATACACACATTCAAGTCGACATATAATGATATAATTAATTATATCATTATATGTCGGCTTGAATCATATATGTATATATATATATATCATTATATACATGCATATAATGATATACATATACATACATATGATTCAAGTCGGGTGACCTGCACGTAACTGTGAAGTTATGGTACCAGATGCAATTTAGAGCGAGTTTTCACAGGACAGTGAAATTTGGCTGCTGATTTTAAGTATATGTTACCCAGTTGAAGTCGTTTGAGTCCGAGAGTTTGTGCTGTGCTTAAAATAGAAGTTTTAATCCGTAATAATTAAACTTACAAAGTTTTGCATCCCCAGAACAGAAGGACAGACACGTCCATACTAAAGCATTTGCCTGCCATGTGGTTTTCTTTTTATATCAGTTATGCAAAAATGCTTGAAGCAGGTGTAAGAAGAGTGAAGCGGACGAAAATGTGTGGCGTATTTCGTCGGTTATGCAAATGCCTGCCGGGCCGGGATAAAACGAAGCACGCCCAGATGCACTTCCTTTTGGAAAGGTTTGATTATTTAGAGGCGGCATTTCCTTAATTTTTCGTTTCGACGATAATAGCGTTTTTCGATTTGTATGAATAAGTCACATTGCGTAGTTATTAGGTATTTCTGTGTGTCGTCTGTGTTTTATTGGCGAGTTTCTAGCACCGGCATCATTCCATCCTTTCCCATTTCGGCTTTACCCTGCTTTTATCATACGGTGGAGGCAAGTTTAGCACTTTAAGACTTCGGTCTACAACATATATTATACTGATAAGTGCGCGCCTCATTCGCACTAATGGAAAGCCTAAAAAACCTGAATACGAAGAGTCGGGTCCAGTTAGTAACTGCGCAGGAGGGTGCATAATTTGAAAAGTGAGTAAAGCTGTTTGGTCGTCCAGGCTTTGAGGCAAAGCCCCTTCAGATTCTCCTAACATTGCTTGATGGACACAAGATCAGGGGGAGAAACGGCCGGGCTGACATAACGGGCACGTTGTATGTGTTGTTCTGGCATTGTTCCCAATCTGGTTGGCACCATCCAGTGGTACTTTTTCTTCTTCCCTTTCCAAAACAGCAGTGAGCGGGACTCTGAGTATCGGAACAGCATTCTTCTTACTGTATGCAGTCCATTCTGCCTGACAAGATGGCTGATGCTTGC